CTAAATGAGAAGCTAAGGAATGAATGCAGTAGAATTTCGAATATGCAATTTTCGGTTTTCTCTCATCTACACAAATACCTCTCGCCTGGTACTTTCTGCATGATACCCTTCTCGTAATAATACCTCAGAGATCGGCTCAATTTGTCGTAGTTCATGGCCGGTCGGTTCTTCTGCACCCCCCACCTCCTGGCTACCTGGATAGAGTAGGGTGGGGTAGAGTAGGGTAGAATAAAATAGGGTAGGGTAGGGTGGGGTGAAATTATTTTTGACGTTTTGCTTATTATGTTTAGTGTTCGGCAATTCGTCAAGTAGCATTCTTCGCATGTTATTCATTGGTGATTTTTTTTCTAGAATCAATTTTAACGTTTTTATATTATGTGCGTGTGCGTGCGTGTGTGCGAGTGCGTGCGTGAGTGTGTGAGTGAATCTGAGGAGGTGATAATTGGTGACTTTTTTTGAGTAAAAACTCAATCAATGAAATCAGCTAATAAATACACTATCACCCAAAAAAATAATCAATTTGAATGTAGAACTAAGATTAGCTAATAATAATAATATTAATAATAATAAAAAACAATAATAATAATGGTAATAGTAATTATACTAATGATAATAATAGTAACAATAATAATAGCAATCAACTTCTTCCGGTTCGATTAATTTAAATTCTAATCCTTTTCCGGTCCAGCTGATGAAGTGACTGTTTCCAGGATTGTCTAGTAGAGATACGAGGAACTGCCAAAGCTGAAGAGAACCTCTACGCTGGTAGAAGGGTGTGTTGGTTTGTTGTTGTTGTTGTTGATGTTGCTGATGTTGTTGTTGTTGTTGATGTGTTGTTGTTTTCATTGTAGATGTTGTGGCTAGAGTTGTAGAAGAATTTGTGATGTAGTAGCTATCTAAGTCGTTCCTGTTGTTGGTCTTTGATATTGAATTGTTGATTATTTCGTCAACGTTGTTGTTATTGTTGTTGTTGTAGTGTAACGTATTGTTGATGTTGTTGCTGTTGTTGTTGATATTATTGTTGATGTTATTGTTGTTGTTGTGGTTATTATTGTTATTGTTGATGTTGTTGATGTTGCCAATGTTGTTAGTGTTTATCTGAATGTATGCAGGCTGATAAATTTTTGACGTTGTTG